CCACTGTAATTTATATTACTCTAAATCTAGGAGTGCTAGTGACCCTATTAAGTTCCCACTGGCTACTTACATGAATTGGGTTAGAAATAAGTATACCAGCCATAATTCCAATTATAATAAACAAGACCAATCCCTGATCCAAAGAAGCTGCAACCAAATATTTTTTAACTCAAGCATCAGCATCAATAATCCCACTATTCACCACTGTCCTAACCATAATACACTCAGGTTAATGAAACAATTTCTTTTATTCTAACCCTACCTTAATAATAAAATTAGGCCTAGCACCCTTTCACTTCTGAGTACCATAAGTAACACAAGGAATTATGTTACTATCAGGAGTGATTTTATTGACATCACAAAAAATTGCTCCACTATCTATTCATTTTCAAATCTCTACTATCATTAATCAACCCTTAGTTTTCATTTCAGCTATTATATTAATTTTACGAGGATGAGGACTAAACCAAACAACAGTACAAAAAATCCTAGCATACTCATCAATCACTCACATGGGATGAACAGTAACCATCTTAAATTTATAATTCCCCAATTAAACTTCATTATCTACTCCATGCTAACAATCTCCGTATTTACTATATTTTTTATAAATAACAGCACAACTACAATATCCTTAACCCCTTGAAATAATCTCACCATTAGTAATTGCTATTACTATAATAACCCTTCAATCCCTAGGGGGCCTTCCTCCCCTAACCAGATTTACCCCTAAATAAGTAATTATCAAAGAAACAGTAAAAAATAACAATACTATTATACTTGCACTAATAACCATTTTAGTTTTACTTAACCTATGCTTTCTATATGACTAGTCGAATCAACATCCCTAACTCTATTTCCATCTAAAAGCAATATAAAAAATGATACTTTCAAGACATAAAAAATCTACTTTTGCCTCCTATAATTACCTTCTTCTTCCCCTTTCACCAACAATAATTACCCTATACTAGGAAATTAGGTTAACTAAACCAAGAGCCTTCCAAGTCCTAAGCAAATATTAAATAGTATTTATTTCCTGAATAAGGACTGCAAGTTTACAATCTCACATCAACTGAACTCAAATTGGCACTTTAATTAAGCTAACTCCTTACTAGATTGGTGGACCCACCCCCATGAAACTTTAGTTAACAGTTAAATATCCTAACCAATTAGCTCCACTCTACTCCTCCCACAAAAAAAAACAAAAAAAAACAAAAAAAAAAAAAAAAAAAAAAGGGCAGGCGGGAGAAGTCCAGGGAGGACTAAAGCTACTCCTTTGAATTTGCAATTTAATATGATTAATCACCTCAGGACTGAGGTAAAAAGAGGGAATTTAACATCTTTTTTTAGATTTACATCTAATGCTTACTCAGCCATTTTACCTACTTATGTTAATTAACCGCTGACTTTCCTGTAGAAATCATAAAGACATTGGCACACTATGTCTTTTACTCAAGGCATGGGCTGGAATAGTAGGGACTGCTCTTAGTTTACTGATCTGAGCAGAACTACTGCAACCAGGAGCACTGCTAGATGATAACCAAATTTATAATGTAGTCGTAACTGCCCATGTATTTGTTATAATTTTCTTTATAATTATGCCTATTATAACTGACTGCTTCAGAAACTGACCTGGGATCTGTGCGCCAGGTAGCTTTTCCCCAGATAAACAATATGAGCTTCTGACTCCTTCCTCCATCACTTCTTCACCATCAATAGTAGAAGCAGGAATAGGAACCAGACAAACAGGGGCTTATGCCCCTTTAGCCAGGAATCTAGCACATGTAGGTGTTTCTGTAGACTTAACTATTTTTTCAGTTCACCTGGCAAGAGTATCTTCAATTCTAGGAGCAATTAATTTTATCATAACAATTATTAATATAAGCCCCCCACAATAATACAATATCAAACACCAGTATTTGTTTGATATGTATTAATGACAGCCATTCTCCTACTCCTATCCCTGCCTGTACTAGCCACCGGTATCATAATATTACTAACAGACTGAAACTTAAATACAATCTTTTTTGATTGTATTTTGATTTGTTTCACTAGTGTGAGAAGCTGAAATACATATTCAACATATATATTATATATATAGTATAGATAGATTGATTAGTTAAGATAGTTATATTACTGATTTTTCTGAGCTCATTGAAGATAAAGGTTAGTGCTAGTATTGTTCAGACAAATAAAGATGTACCCTGAGCAACTAATTTAAAGATAACAATATGGAAAGTATTACCACTGTTATACCCAATTATAGCGTTCTGAATTTTTTTCTCTTTAAAATAAAAAAAAGAGAAAAAACAGAAATGACTAACTTCTTCATTTAGTATAGTGTCTGGATGATGGACTTGCTAAAGCAGGAAGAACCATATTGAGTGTGGGAAGCACCAATCAATAAGCTTACACCTTGGAATGGAATAAAAACAAAAGAAGGAAGCCCTGCTTCTGTCTTTTTCCTAGGAGCTTTAATATTCACCTTGGACTTCAGAGGTCCATCTCCAGGGTCCCAGTTCAAACTCTTCAGCCATCTAATGCAGACCCTTATGCTTTCTGATATAACCTTGCTGGGGACCCTGAAGTGAGTCACAAGTCTCCAGCTTGAAAATGAACTCTAACCGATACACCTATAGGATATATGGAGAGTAGTCACTGGGCCCTTGAATTTTTACTAAAATAATTCAGTCCAAAATTACTAACACAGAGAGATTCAATGTGGATGAAAACAGGAAGAGTCACATCTGTGCCTCAGAAAAGACCCACAAAAAATGCAGGTAACTGGAAGAAAGGAAGGAACATACACCCTGATGCAAAATCACTACCACATTAAGCCACATAGTATGATCACTTCTGCTTGACATAGGTTTTATCAGAATCAAAAAAATGTTGATAAAATGTCTGAGCACATGCCTGTAATCCTAGCACTCAGGAGGCGGAGGCAGGAGGATCATTTTGAGTTCAAGATCAGCTTGGGATACAAAATGAGTTTAAGGCCAACCTGAATGACATAGTGAGACCCTGTCTCAAAAAGACAAATCAAAATAAAATAATAAAATAAAATATCTGAGATGACAAACTCAAATTACCCTGATGTGATCATTGCTACTGAACATGTGAACTGAAATGTCACACTAAACATAATACATCGTTTTAATTGCTATGAACTGGTTAAAATTTTTTTTAAAAAAATTCTTGACAGAAATATTTGCAAAGTATTTATGGAACATGAGGACCAACTATCCCTACATGATACCAAGGTTTGTCACCAGTCACCAAAAAGACCCAGTCACCAAACAGCATATAGGACCAGAGTCTCGTCATCCTAATGTGTCCCAGAACAATTAGATTAAGAACAATGACAACTACATGAGCTGTCTCAGAACACACAGGAGACCATGCACTGCTGTGTTACGGGGCAGCACTGAGGCTGCTCTCCCATTTCATTCTGCAGTCTGCCTCTGCATCCTTGTGTGATAGATGTGAAAGACAGTTCCTTCAAAAGTAAACCAGGAGAAGCTTCACTGAGTAGCCAACATGTTTTCCCCTTTAGTGTCACTAAATTGTATGACAGGCCTTTTCCTTTTATGCAGGATGCAGATTTATTAAGCAGAGAAGACCCTTTGATCCACCACACTCATTCTAATGTACTCCTTCACGGCACATTTCCTCTCTACACTGTAATTTATCTTCCTCTTATCATGCTTATGATAAGTTCAGCAAGGTTATGATCACTTCAAATGTTTCATATATATAGTGCAATACTTAATGATTTTGTTATTTTAATACACTGCAATGAAAAAGAATGCACTCAAAGGGAATTCTTGAATAACGCCCAAGGCCAAAAAAAATTACGCCTAACATTTTCTTTTACTATGAATCTGTAGGTTTTTATGAAAAAGGAAGTTTTCCATTTCTACTATTATGCAAGGAAACAAAACATGCAATATTATAAATACTGACATATTTACAATCTGATGTTTTGTTCTTTTGTATTAACTTAAAATATTTTAATTACAATTATATGTAAAATGATTTTTATAATTAAAATTTAAAATTCAACTATCCACAGAAAAATATAAAGAGCACATCAGTAATTGCAATAAAACAACCAAACTTGAGGACAAACTTCATATTCTGGGATAAAAAAATATAACTGATTTGTCAGTAGCTTCAAAATATTATTGTTAGCAAGTTTATATTTCAACTGTAGTAGCTTTCGGCTGAGTAAGTTTCTACTGTATTTGCAGGAAAGCAGGAGGGTTACCCTTACCAACTGACCCAGACTCAGAATCTGCACCACCTTATCATTTGAAGACAGAGAGAGAGAGAGACAGAGAGAGACAGAGAGAGAGAGAGACAGAGAGAGACAGAGACAGAGAGAAACTGTCAGTATCTATTTCATTTTCACTTTCAAAGCAGTCTGTGAGGGGAGACAGAATCATCTATATTGAACACTGCGCTGTTTTCTAACAAAATATACACACAAAACCCACGGACCTTTCCCTCACTGGGCTCACACCGATTCAGATCCCCAAGGGCTCTGATCTCAGAGGCAGAGCTCAGCACTCACTGATTCAAAAAAGTTTTCGGAGAGAGTAGAGGAGCCATGAAAACGTCTAAATAGCACCTGCAGAGCAGTTTGCACCTAAGGACAGGCAGCATCTGGGCTGCACTCGCGTCACATTAACAGCTTCCCGAGCTATGCTTTCCAGGTCGCCCACAAACTCTCGGGTTCACCCCGTCCTCAGACCTCGGTCACCCAAGTAGCTGCGACTGCGGGCGGCGCGCGGCTGGGCTGCCCCACTTGGCCGCACCCTGCAGACCTCCCGCGTGTCCCTGCTGCGCTCCTGGCTGCCTCCCCCGCGCCTCCCAGGCTCTGTCGGGCTACGGGTCCCCTCTGCCCTCCTGCTCTTCTGGGCGGACTCAGGACTCGGACCCCGGCCCCTTCCCTACCCAGGACGGCCCCGCTGCCCCCTGCCGGGCCGGACACTCACCGCGGGCCAACCCGGGACTCCACAGGCTAGAAGTCGGGCTGCAAGACGTGCGCTGGGTCGGGCGGAGGACTCGAGGCGAGCAGCTGGGAATGCCGGTGTGAGGGCGCAGCTGAACTTTGAGCCAACAGGGCACAGGTGGAGGCCTCTGCCGCTTGTCCCGTGTGGCCCCACCTTCGTGATGGCTATCACGATCCCTGGGAGCTGAGCTGTCCATAGAACAGGAACCAACCTTTTAGATAGGCCTTTTCAGAGGTAACTGAATCTACAGTTTGTGATGGATTCGCGGTCCAGTACTCTGATTAAAGGTACACCCACTCTAGGGCAGGTAGTTCACATGCAATATAAGGAACAGAAAGAGGCTTGTTTCCTCCTTTGGCTTGTTGCTTTGCTGTCTTCCACAACAATCATGACCTGTTGCCCCCTAACAAGTGCCACCTTGTTTTGGAACCAGCCAGTTAAGGACTGACATTTCTACAAACTGTGAGCTAAATAAACCTTTCCTCCCTTAACTTGTGGGTGCTGGGCATTTTGTCTCAGCAAAAACAAACAAAAAAAAAAAAAAATAACTAAGACAATTCCTCACAGGACTCTAACAAGCACTTCCTGAACTTATTGCTATGGGGTCAGGATACAGCTGGGCATCAGATTCAACATCTGCCCTCAGAAATGAGCACCTGCACATAGATGTTTTCAGCTTTGCCAAACCAAACAAAAATCATTCAAACAACCAGTTACTTATTTAAATTGATGCTGAGAGGTTCTCATTAACTGTTTATGCAATATAGGAAAGTTTTAGTCAAAAAGTCTGATGGAAATTGAAAATACCCTACTGTCTACTTTTAAAGAACTTTAACAGTTGCATCTAATTATTCTTTTAGCTTCATTTCTGTCAGTTTATCCACTCATAAAGTCCCACATAGAAATAGATTTTTGCCATGACTCATTGTAAGCCACAGAATTAACAATTCTCTAAGATCTGGTTATTTTATTGGGGAGTGTTATAAATTTGATTTTATCTATTTTCAGAAAAGTAGAGGTTTTTTATTTTTATTTTAAAGGGAAAAAAAAACAAAAATGGTACAAAATTTCAAAATAAGATTGAAGGAGAGGGGCCGTGGGTTTAGCTCAGTGGCAAAAGTGCCTGCCTGGCAAGCACTGTATATTGTTATTTTCAAAGTAGTTGCTCCTATTGTAAGTTCTAGGCATGAAAGATTGTTCAAACATTATAGGCACAAACCTTTATTTTCAATTAGTAGTATAATTGTATTAACTATTTTGTGTATATATTTTTTCCCTTCTCCTTCTTTTCTCCTTTCCCCCATCCCAGCTTCTCTTTCCTTTTGAACAGCTTCCTTCCATTTCACTGTATCTATTGTACATTCCTGATAGTGTTTACTTCTTTAGCTTCTGACACTAGGGAGACAATACAATGTTTATATATGTGAGTCTGTTTATTTCACTTACGAGTATGGTCTCAAGTTGCATCCTTTTCCCTATAAGTTTCTCAAGTTTATCCTTACTTATACCTCCATTGTTTAAAAATACAGACTGGCAGAATGGATCAAGAAAGAACATCCAACCATATGCTGTCTACAGGAAACCCATCTAACCCAAGAGGAAACTCATAGACTGAAAGTCAAAAGAGGAAAACAATACTTCATGCAACAGGAACTCAAAAAAAGTGGGGGTAGCTATTCTGTTTGCAGACAACGTCAACTTCAAACCAAGAATGATCCTAAGAGACAAAGAAAGTCACTACATACTGATGAGGGGAAAACTTCAACAAGAAGAGATAACAATCTTAAATATATATGCACCAAATTCCAGACCACCCAGTTATATAAAGCAAGTATTAATAGAAATGAAAAATGAAATTAGCAATAACATAATTATAGCAGGAGACCTTAACACACCATGGACACCAAGGAACAGATCAAACAGGCAGAAAATCAGCAAGAAAATAACAGAACTGAATCATAGCTGTGAACAAATGGATTTGATAGACACATACAGAGTGTTCTATCCAGCAACATCACAATACACATTCTTCTCAGCAGTACAAGGGACATTCTCTAAAATAGACCATATACTAGCCCGCAGACATACTTAAATAAATGCAAAAGAACTGAAATTATTCCAAGCATGTTATCATATCATAGCAACATGAAATTAGAAATTAATGATAAAAGAAACTGCAGAAACTCCACAAACACATGGAAACTAAATAATACACTCTTGAACAATCAGTGGGTCACAGGGGAAATTAAAGAAGAAATTAAACAATACCTACAAGCAAATGAAAATACAAATACAACTTACTGGAATCTGTGGGATGCAACGAAAGCAGTCCTCGGAGGAAAAATTATTGCACTGAGTTTCCACATCAGGAAAACAGAATGAATACAAACAACCTGATGCTACACCTCAAACATCTAGAAAAACAAGAGCAAGTTGAGCCCAAAGCCAAAAAAAGGGAGGAAATTTTAAAAATCAGAGCAGAAATTAATGCAACAGAGACTAAGAAAACAATCCAAAGAATCAATGAATCAAAGAATTGGTTCTTTGAAAGAATAAATAAAATTGATAAGCCCTAGCCAACCTTATTTTTAAAAAGGAAAGAAAAAGCTCAAATTCATGCAATAAGGAATGAAAAAGGTAAAATCACTACAGACTCTGTGGAAATACAAAAGATCATCAACACCTATTTCAAAAACCTCAACTCTCACAGGTTCAATAACACAGAAGAAATGCACAGATTCCTAGCAACATATAAAGTACCAAAGCTGGTTCAAGAAGATGTAAAACTGTTGAATAACCCAATTTCTATTAGTGAAATTGAAAATGTAATTAAGTTCTTACCTGCAAAGAAAAGCCCAGGCCCAACCTGATTCAGTGCAGAATTCTACAAGAAATATAAAGAAGACTTAATGCCAACACTCCTCTAACTCTTCAATGAAATCAAAAGGGAAGCAATTCTTCCTAAGTCATTCCTGAAGCAATTATTACACTAGTACCAAAACCTGAGAAAAACCCCACTCTATTAATCTACATCGAAGCCCCCCCAAACTCCATGAAAGACTCCTAGGTATAATAAATAAATTCAGCAATGTAGCTGGATAAAAAATCAATACTCAAAAATCAATAGCATTTTTATACACTAACACAAAACCACTTCTTTGTAGGCAAAGACTTAATTACCTTTTCAATTTAATTAATAGAAATTAGATTATTCATTTCTTAATTAAAATACAGAAATACAATGCAAAAACAGAATCTTAAAGCTACTAGAGAAAAATAACCACTGGAAAACCTACCAGAATTACAACAAATTTCTCAAACTATAAAAGCAAGGAGAACACAGAATCAAGTGTTTCAAGCTCTTAAAGAAAATAACTTCCACCTCAGACTGTTATATCCTGAAAAATTATTTTTCAATATCAATGGTAAAATTACACATTTCCATGATAAAAAACAATCTAAAGAAATTCATGACCACCAATTCAACACTAAAACATTCTCAAGTATATTCTAGAAAGACACAATGAAGCTCACAATGGTTCCGTAAAATGAATACATCAGGCAGAGCTGGCAATTAAGTAGAAGGGAAAGAAAGCAAAACAAACAGGAAATTAATGCAATGACAGGAATAAATCAACACCTATCAATTTTATGTTTTGTTCATTTTTGGTTTGGAATACCTATCAATTTTAAACTACCAATGTAAATGAACACAACTGGCCAATCAAAAGACACAAATGATCAGACTGGGTCAAGAAACAAAATCCAACAGTGTGCTGTGAACAAGAAATACATTTAACACATAAAGAAATTCATAGACCAAAAATTGAAAAATGGAAAACAATATTCAATGCAACAAGAACCCCAAGACAAGCAGAAGTAGCTACTGGTTTTCAAGCCAAAGCTGATCAAAAGAAAGATATTATATATTGGTTGACAGAACTATCCAGCAGAGATAACAGTTACAAACATGTGGCAAATGATGGTGTACCTAATTTCATACAATAAACATGAATGGATATAAAAGATCAGATAAACATCAATACAATCACAGTAAGGAATATCAATAAACCACTATAACAAATTTAGATCAACTATACAAAAAGTCAGCAATATCAGAATTGAACTTAATCTTCAAAATAATGGAGCTAGGGGCTGGGGATTTAGCTCAGCAGCATAAGCGCCTGCCTTGCAAGCAGGCAGTCATGAGTTCGATCCCCGGTACCGATAAAAAAAGGAAAAAGACAAAAAAATAAATAAATAATGGAGCTAATTGGGCTACAGAGAGTGCTCTACTGACAACAACATAAGACGCATTCTTTTTAGCCACACATGGAACTTTCTCTAAAATACAGCACATACTAGTAAAAGCATGCATAAGCAAATGTCAAATAGAATTTTACCATGCATACTATCAGATTACAGTGCAATAAAAATAGAAGTCAATATTGAAAGACACCACACAAACTACAAAGATATAGAAGTTAAATAGCAAACTCTTGAACAATCTATGGTCATAAAGGAAATTGAGGGAGAAATAAGACCGTTCCTAGAATTAAATGATAATTCTATGAGCCATGCATGGTGGCACATGCTTATAATCCCAGCGCTTGGCAGATTGTGAGTTTGAGGCCTAAGATCAAGACCAGCTTGAACTACAGAGTGAGACCCTGTCTCAAAAACAAAAACAAAGAGCTCAGGGGATGTTGGGCCTGCCTGCACCCTCAATTCTGGAAACTGGGCGGCTGGAGGTGAGTGTCCCCACACCATCCCGAGCCCTGGGAGTTTAAGATCATTGCTCACACCTGCCAAGGAAATTAGCTTCCTGCCACACTCCACTGGCTCAGCAGGTCTTGCGCTTGCCGGCCCCACCCGCAATGACCTTCTCTCAATCCAGGAACTGGGTGACGAGAGTCCCAAGAGCTGAGGGCATAAAAGAGGATGTCCAACAGGCCCAGGGGAAGCCTTGGAATAACACATGGAACACAGAAATATAGGAAAATGACAAAATGAAAGGGCAAAATAAAATTTAAAACTTACAGCCCATCCCAAGAAATCTTAGGAGCTATGTATGTAGAAGAAAATATATGCCATATACCTGAAATATCAGAAATAATAG